TAGGGGGGTTCATTTTCCCATAAACCCAAAAATGAAAGGGGGTCCGGGGTCCTCCCCCGGGAAAATTTTGATTCCCAGATGGCCGGAAATATGAGCTTTCCCGACTTCTGAGGTATCTTTTAATGACCTTAAATTTCTTCAAAATTCAAGGTTTTACCCCTCTTAAAAAAGGTCAGCTGATTTTATATCATTCTTAGGCCTATACCAAAGAAAATAAATCAAAAATATAGTCAATATATTATTAGGCCAATATCATACCAAGTCTCACGCATCCGGCGTGAACCTCACGTTTTTCGAACAAACCTCAAGCTCAAGCCACTCCTATATTTACAATTCTATATTTTATCAGGCCCAGATCATCGAAAATTCTATCGTTCCTGTTATAGCTACTCATTTTTAAGGTTTAATTTCAGCACTAGAGATATTCAGAGTACCCAGAGAGCATCTAAGCCCAAAATTTTTCGGGGCCCTTGGACGGGCCCTCGACTCACGTCAATTGGGTTATTTCCTGTTAAATCTCAAGCCTTTAGCTATCTCCAACTTGGTATGTATTCTATATTCCAACATCAATGAGTATTTGGATTCTTTCTTCCATAGATCGATGAACTGATAGGCTTGAAGAAAACACTTTCGTACATAATTATTACGACGTCGAGCCAAAACAGTGTTTCTAATGTATTTAATTGAATGCTAGTGGGGCTTAGTCTATATATATATATATATATAATACGCATACTTTATAAAACATAAATTAACCTAATTTTCTGATAAACAAATTAAATAACATTAATTAAATGAAATATATTTAATGATATAGGCGTATTTGCTACCATCAACCGTAACACACAATTTGAAATAAAAGTAGGCGTATGATGACATAATTAATGTCGAAATATTGAATCCCAACACGATGGCGTGTATTTCAATACTTGGAGTATGTATCATACTTTCTTATCTGAGATTAATCAGTGGACCTTTCAGTAGTAGGCGTATCGTAGGAGAGAATCACTAATGGGCACTGACCTCCGAAGTACTGTAGAAGTACAGAAATAATAGAGT